TCGAATACTACTGTATTAGAGTTTTATCCTTTTCACCACTACTACCACTGTACGTTTTATTTGATGATATCAGTGAATGTTGGTCAGTTCGACCGCAAAGTTAAGTACTCTCTGGTACTGTACGTGGATAATGTTCGGCGAATACACTACTTGTCATTGATTAGGTCATGATTACAAGTGGCGTGGAGTTGATCTTTGACACGAAGTGCTACAAATAGACCATGTTTTAATTTTAGCGACCGTATCGCGTATTGTATAATAAATGGCTCGAAAATTCTCCAATTTCAGGTCTTAGGATGTGGCGTAGGATTTTTAATCTCGATTGTAACAGACGGTGTAGACCTTGTGAAGGTTTTGTTTGATGAAAAGTATATCTGCATGTTTTGCAAATTAAAATTTAATTAACCTTGTGTTTGTAGACAATGTGTTAAAAGAACTGGAGTGAGGGAAGCCAGGCGGTGTGCGTCACGGCCCACAAAGGTTCATGGGTAAAACTGTTACTGTGCCTCATTTCAATCGTGACACGGTCGAGTTCGCATCTCGTAAGAGTAATGAATCAAACCCAGGGATCAAAACACTGCTGCCTTTTCCGAAAAACATTACTGAAGAGAGCGATTTCGAGAATTTTCAAGATCTCATAGTGGCCTTAGATGCTTGCTATTGGCCTCATAAGACAATTTCAAGAAGTTTATCGCGATTCGGAGACGATCGTGCGATCTAGCCGACTTTGAGCGGCGACTAATTTCCTGCTTCTCATAAGATTTTATGTACTGTTTGGTTTATATGTATGTTTTTATCTCATAGTGAAAGAGATCTGTAGTTCATACCTGGATTTGCTTAACTAAAAAAAAATTCGTAAATTAGAACTGTTTATATATTTGATGGACTTTGTTACCGGCATTAAGCAGGGGGAGCGCGTGCAAACAGCAAGGTGAGAAATCGTCTCTCATAACAATTTTATTTTCATCGACAAGTTTGTATTATTTTGAAAACAGTGCCCGTTTGAAATCCTTATGCGCAAATGAATCTTCTGTCAGGCAAGGGGAAACAGACCGAAAGAGCCGAACAGCTGCAGCACAATCGGAATTTCACCGAAGCTACAGCCGCAGAAATAAACAGTGAAATAAACCACGATCTTGTCTGTGCGGTCATTGAAGTGAGCGCAGTATATTGATCTTGTTATAAAGTAAAACCTAACCTCACAGTTTTAAAATCCTGTATGATGTTGTCTGGATCATCGATAATGGTTTTGTGTTTTGGTAGAGATTTATAACAATTTATTCCCTCACATAAGTTTACACAAAGATTTGCATACACGTAGCACACACCGCATGCAAATTATTTTAAAGTCACGCTTTCAGTTTCCGCACTAGGTTATGAAAAATGTTTTGTTTCCAAAGGTTATTACAATATTCAAACTTATTTACCTTTTGTGCTTTAAAATAGAGCAAACTCTTCCTGGATTTGGCGTTACTCGCTTCACGTCGGCTTCCGCTTCGGCATATTTTCTCAGCCCGTTTCCCGGGACTTGTGCCACTTGGCTGAGACGATGTCTTAATTCCAAGACACTTTCAACGGCTCATAACGGGAAAACTAACAGGGGTAGACCCGGGTAGACCCCGAAATTTGCAAAGAAAAAAGGTTGAAGTAACAAGATGGCCAAAATAATTCGATAAAACCGCTAACAGTAACCAGCAGTAAATCCAAGAAGAACGGCAAAAACCACACTCAAATCATCATGGCGGCCTGCACATGACCGAGCAATTCAAACTTGTCACAAACGCTCAAGAAAGCAAAATATTTAAAAGTAACGCAACTGCTCTCACGATAAAGTGTTCCAACAACTTTTCACGGCGGTATAGTGTCGAAATTGCTAACACAAGCTTGGAATAAAGCGAAAATTTCACCACGTATACTCTGAAAACAGCTCTTTCCGAGCGCGAAAATCACTCTCCAAATGACGCATTCTGATTGGTCGAATCTCGTGACGCACACCGCCTGGAGGGAAGCTAAGAAAAAATTGACCTTTCACCCACCACCGGAAATGTAAGTATGTCAGCTGTTTGGTTTGAAAAAGTAGTCGGATTTGAAAGAAAAGTTAAAAGCGATAGACCATTTCAAGGTTACCGGCGCCATTTTGACGGGGGTGCAAAACTACTGGGGCGTGCGCAAAATGTACAGTGAATGTATGAAAACGTCGGGAGATTGATGCTCGATAATTTGAGGAAGGTTGAATTATGAATTAGAAACTAAAGATGCCAGTTTACCGATCAAATTTGAGAAATAAAGTCTCACTAAAAAGGCCGCAAATTAAGATATATTTGTCTGTAAAACCAAGCCGCCGTTCGCGGGAAAATTTAACAGCATTTGTATGAAAAGCTGAACTTCTCAGCGAGCCTGAACCCTTCACATTTAATCGGCAACATCTTTTTCTAGGTATCTTTACTTCGTAATTTATAGAAATTGCAGAATGTCAACCTTCCTCAAATTATCGAGCATCAAACTCCCGACTTTTTCTATACATTTAATGTACATTTTGCGCTCGCCCAGTAGTTTTGCACCCCCGGGATAATGGCGTCAGTAACTTTGAAATGGTCTATTAAATCATCGCATAGACTTAACTTTCCTGCAGCTTCTCAAGCCCTGCAATAAAACTATTATTGTAACTGTGATATTCCTTATGTTATTCAACTAAAATTTGTAGTATTAATAGTAGTACTTTTATTAATTCAGAATTGATTTGACGGCTTGTGACGGCAATGATTCAGTACCCTCACCACAAAGGTACAGTCTCACTTTTTATATGTACACAATTGAGAAACATGAAAGTACTTTATCTGGCTACAAAGTTTATTGCTTGTTTATATTAAGGAACGTTTCTCTGGTTAAGTGGAAGGAGGGTAACCCTCCATAGCTAGCCACCCCCTCACCACTAACCTTTGGATGCCTTTCTTTCCTTAGTCTCCTCTCAGCTTGCTTTGCTTGCAGGCGGATTATTTAAGGACATGCACAAGCAAACCTTTGCTCCGTCAGCAGAGACAACTTTTCCAATATAAACCATAAGTAAAACATGGCTGAGGTGTTTGCAAGGCCATAGGTTCCTTAGAGTTCAATTTACTGTGTATGAATATCACAGTGTAATATACAAAGGGAAAGACACGCAACTCTTTTCTTGGATAACATTGGCCGTCCTTTGCGTTAATTTCCTTTTTTTCTTTCAGCATTAATGAAACAAGTTCAGACGATGACCTAGGTGTCAATTATTTAGGGTATGCACATGTTTTTATCATATCTGGATGGTTTTATGTGGAATATAGGGCAAATTTTCTTTAAAATATTTATA